CCAACAAGCGGGATTGGCCTAGGGAATTTTAGTGGGGTTTTTTAAGAGAAATTTTAATTATATAGGCCATAACAAATATTTCTTTTTAATTTGGTTTTAAATTAGGTATTTATTGTTGCATTGTTTTATAAGGCTGTTAGCCGCCCTGAGTCCGGTAAGGAGAAGGGCGGGATATAAATTGAATTAATAAAATAAATAAAATAAATAATGTGAAAACTAAATCATCAGCAAAAGCTTTAAGTTTGTATTCTTTAGTAATAATCTTTAAGCCTTTAATCATTGGTGATTCTCTAATTCTGGACAACAAAATTTCTAAAGACAATACAAATAATAGTGGAGAGAGTGGACAACCTTGTCTAGTACCTTTTTGTATTTCTATAGGTTCTGTCAAGTCTCCATTAATAATTATTTGAGCAGATTGTTTTTGATATATTGCTTTTATGGCTGTCTTAAATTGATCTCCAAAATTCATATAGTCCAATATTTTGTTTAAAAACTGCCAGTCCAATTTGTCAAAGGCCTTCTCCGCATCTAAAAAAATAAAGGCCAATGGCACTTGATTATTCTTATCCAAATATTCCAATAAGTTCAAAATTTGTCTAATATTATTCTTCATGTATCTTCCAGATATAAAACCAGTCTGATCATCAAGTATATAATATTGCAATATCTGCAATATTAGCCAAAATTTTTGCAAAAATTTTATAATCCACATTCAGCAATGAGATAGGTCTATAATCCTTAAGTTCCAAAATATCTTTCTCATCCTTCGGTATCAAAGATATAAAAGCTCCTGTCCATGACTGTGGTACTTGTTCTCCCAACATAATCCTATTAAATAAAACTTTTAGAGGTTGAATCAGTTCAGCTGACAAAGACTTATAATAGATTGCTGTCAAACCATCCGTACCAGGAGCTTTGCCAGTTTTTAATTGTTTAATTGCATTTAAAATTTCCTCTGCAGTGATCTCTTCATTCATCAATTTCTGTTGTTCTGATGTAAGTTTACATATAGATGAGAGTTGCATATATTTGTCAATGTCCTCAATTTTTGTAGACCCAGCAGCATATAAGTGTGAGTAGAATTCTGTAAACGCTTTCTTGATCAATTCATGTTGATGTACCTCGCGGCCCTTAACCACAACTTTAGATATAAGTCTAGCTTTCTGTCTCTTACGTAATTGGTAGGCCAACCATCTCCCTGGTTTATTTGCATTAGCAAATGTGTTATGTTNTTTATCTTTTAAAGTGTCAGGTACTCCATTCCAGTCCCCCATAAAAATCAAAGAATTATAATCCAAAGCCACAATCTTCTGATGTAATTGTCTGTAAAATAACTTTTGAGATGACAGTTGATTAGGAGCATAAACCCCCACTATTAAACACTTTCTTCCATTTAAATTTATTTCCACAAGTAAGAATCTTCCTTCTTTATCAGCTTCTTTTAAAATGGGTGAAAGATGTTTTTTTATATATAAAGCAACCCCCGCTTTTTTCTTTAAGGCAGGTGCAGCAAACAATTCTCCAAGCTTAGCATTTAACAATAATTTTTGATCTTTAACCACAATATGAGTCTCTTGTAAGCATGTGATATCATTATTAAAATGTCTTAAATAATGAAAAATCTTGCGTCTTTTATGGGGTGTGTTAAGTCCCCCCACATTCCAAGATGAAATCTTATGCATTAGCAGATTTCAATCCTATGGCAATGCTTGAAGCATAAGACTTGACAAAAACCTTAGGTCGAGCGCCACCTACTGGCTCAGAAGTGGCAGGTGGTGAGCTCTCAGCTGTTTGGCGGGCTGTCAGTTGTTCCTTCTCCTTGCGTCTGTGAGCTGCGCGAGTCACTCTTTGTTCTTTTCCATCATCCTTTGAACGCCCATTTACATCCTTAGCGCCGGAAGTAGAAGGGAGGTCCACAATCAAATGCTCAGCCGTATCAGCCTTTTGAGGTGTAATTGGACACTCCACTTGTAACACAGACGCCATAAATTCTTTCGCCTTTTTAATCGAATTAATTCTGTAGCGCTTACCAGCCACTGTTACAATTATGCCCACTGGTACATCCCATCTAAAAATTATTTGTCTATTCTTGAGCTCCTGCACCAGAAAAGCATAATCACGTCGCGCTTTAAGCATTTTCGCTGGGATTTCTTTTAAAAGAATAATGTCTTGATTTAAAATCTTGAATCTTTGTTGAAAGAAAAGCTGCATTATTTCATTCCGTCTTGATTTTCTAGTAAAATAAACGACCACGTCTCTTGGCAATTGTTTCTGGCGAGCAACCCACGAATTTACCCGAAAAACACGTTCTATCTCCCCATGAATTTCATGCCCACAGCCCAGGGCATCCATAAGTGCTTCTGGAATTATTTCTCTTAAATTCTCTTTTGGATCCTCAGCCAACCCGCGGATCTGAATTGCATATTCCATATCACGAAATTGTGTAATCAAAATATCACCTTTAACATTTTCCAAACTCTCCTCCATTGAATCCAATCTTTGTTCACTCGCTTCAGCCTTCTGTTCATTTTCGTCCACCCTTTCTGCCACTCCGTCCACATATTCAGCCAGACCTTGAAAAGCAGTTGTCACATTCACCCGAAAGCCCTCTTGTTTCTGTACTAGATCTTGTTGTTGGTGTATTAATTGGTCAATCTTATTATCAAATTTAGCTTCCAATTTTTGAAACATCTCTGTCATTTGTAACATAAAGTCCTGTAATTCTTTACCGGAGGGCGGCGGGGGTGAAGAAGATGGCGGGGGTGGAGGGTGTGAAACCGGCTTAGGAATAGGTTGAAGCGGCACGCCCCCTACCTTGTACTCCTGGGCAGCCTCGGGCAGGGAGAGGAGGGGGTGGCCCTGGTGCCCCCCCAGGGCAGCCGGTGCAGAGGAGGCGCTTCTCGCTGGAGCAGAAGGTCTGCAGGGGCTGCTGGTGTTCCCGGCACAGCTGGGGGCCGCTGCTCCCCTCCTGGGCTCCCCCCGACAGCCGAAGCCCCTTCACCAGGCTGACGATGTTGGCCAGGGCCCAGTTGGGGGAGGCACTGCTGGGCTCCACCCTGGCTCTGCACTGGGGGCAGGAAGCCTCAGCGCCCAGCCGGGCCAGGCAGTCGCGGCAGAAGTTGTGCCCACAGGCCAGGACCATCGGCTGCTGGAAGAAGTCCAGGCAGAGCGGGCAGGTGGCCTCCTGGCCCAGTTGCCCCAAGGCTTTCTCCTGCCCTGAGGCCTCCATGGGGCTCTTCGCTTCGGTTTCCCCCTGGCTGGGCCTGGAAGGAGAAGAAGCTGATCTGTTGGCTCCTTCTGGGGGGGCAGCTGGGAGCTCTTGGTGGGGGGGGAGTGATTTCTCAGCCCCTCCCCTCCTGTAGGGAATGTGCTCTGAGCCCCTCCTCCAATTCAAGCCCAGGGGCATTACCCCCCCCCCCACACTCACACATTCCTGTCCTGGGGGAGGTGAGGCAAGGAAGCAACGAGAACTGGCCAAGCAGGGGGGCTTCTCCCAAACGGAGGGGGGGCGGGGGAGGAGGTTGCCCAGCGTCCAGAGAACAAGGGGAGCCTCCTCGGGCTTCTTTGGACCCCCATGCCCTGTTCTGTTCCCTCAGCCTCAGCCCAAGGGTCTCTCTTGGAGGATGAGCAAGCCTTCAGCCCCATAGAACCCCCCGTTGCGCTTCTTCCCTGCCAGTCCCTGAAGACCGACGCCTCCCCCCCCCAAACAAACAGAAAAGAAAAACCCGGTTCTCCATCCACCCACTTTGAGGGTGCCCCCCACCTTCCCGCCTGGGGCGCCCTTCAGTGGGAATCGGGGCGTCGTTTCTTAAGGGGGGGAGGAAGAAGCGGAGCTCACCTCCCCTGTGTGGGAAGTTAACCCAGAGAAGGAAATATTAAAAAGGCAGAAAGAAAGATATTGTTCACCAAAAGGATTTTTAAAAGCATTTTTTGAAAAGCAGAAACCAAACCTGGCCTCATCTCTGCCCAGGGCAGTAGCTAGTCTTATACAAATGCAGATGTGGAACCATCAGAAAGTTGAAGCCAGAGCCATCAAGAAGACA